AAATTTTTGCTGAATTTCTATTATTGACATGGGGTGTCAATAGCTGTATACTAAAATTTGCACATTTTGCAAGCTAAGAGCTACAAAGAAACTTTATTTTAGTAAAATAAAATAATTATAGTGATTATTTAAACTTGAGTTACATCCGATATTTGATAACATATGTATATGTATTTGTACTCATATATACATACATTCATGTTCGTTTTTTAAGCTTTTCTGGCATTTTACTAATATATAACAAAGTTTTATAAAAATTTATATAAGAACTGCTTTTAATGCATATAGCGCTTATATAAGAATTGTGAAGTATGTAAACTTACTTGACGATGTTTGATCAAATATCCTTATTAAAATAGCAGCTGTTGCGTTGCATTTTTGAGAAGCCTGGGATTAAATCTTATACATATATAAAAGGATCAAACTAAATGTAACAGATAAAACTAATTCCTATAAAAGATATTTTAAGTGTGTACTTATTGTAATTATTGCAATAAAACTATTATTTTTACTTAAATTGTATTTTCTATTATTTTCTCAGGAAGATATGTCAATAACTGTACATTTATACTATGTCAATAGTTGTACCAGGGTGTCAATAATTGTACTTTTGGATATTAACATAAACAAATTTAATTGTTGATACTTTTATTTAACATTTTATAAATTTTAGTAAATTATTATGAAAGAGCTATATTCAATTTATATTTTACGATGTTCAAATTTTTATAACTGTGTATAGAATAATTGTATGAGGAATACCGCTTAAGAATGTCAATAAATGTATCCTGTACGCTACATTATTAAAATTGTTTTCATTCATATACGAATATATTCCAAAAATTACATACGCTTAGGATGAGCAATGTATTCAATTTTGGAAATAAACCAAAAAAAATCTGATGTGGTCAGCACATAACAGACCGCATTGTGTATTGTCTAGTTAAGTGAAAGTGTTACGGAATATTATAAAAAAGTCTGTTAAATACTTCTTTCCAATTTTTAGAGCATAAGTAAGCTTATTGTTAACAAACCGTAGATATGGTGAAGAATGTAAAATCGCCCGCAAACCAGTTTTCGAGCCCTGATCTTTCCAAAAAATTTATATGTTCATTGCTTTAATACGAGAATTCAAATATTAAATTCCAATGAAATCGGTTGATTATTTCTCTTTATATACACAAAAATGTATATTTGTCTCGTAGTAAACGTCCAGTTGCCGATGCCTGTTTTCTTCCAAAAGTTAGGGATTTTTGCGGACGATCGAGCAAAGCTTATATATGAAATTTCAAGTAAATCGGTTGAATATTTTCTTCAAAATGGTCAAAAATGTAAAACAGGCCCGCTAAAAAATGCAGTTCCCGAGGCCTGATATATCCCAAAAGTTGATCAATATGTGCCGTGGTCGAAATAAACTTGCATATAAAATTTCATCAAAATCGGTTCATTCCAACTTGAGATACACGTGTGCACACACAGACCGACAGACCGACAGGTTGCTAAAATTAATTTATTTACACTTCCCTACCATGGAGAAGTGCGTTCCCACCGAAAACTCGATATGCAAAATTTGTTGTTATCATATAACCTACCTATTGTATACACAATACGGTCGGTAAAAAAGGTACAGCTGATTTAATTGTGCTAGCCATGGTAATTTATTTATTTTGTGATTGATTAGCAATGTTTATGAACAAACTTGTTTAGCAACATTTGTTTATGAACACAAATATAGCGCTGTTTACAGTGTTTATGAAAGGGCCTGTTAATGTTTTATATGAAACAGAGATCAGAGCAAAATAATGCAAATAATTTATAAGTATATGTAATTGTTTTATTTCGAAAAATTAAAATTTCTTGTTGATTCTTGTTGTCTAATGCTGTAACAATAATAAAATCCTACTATAATTTTTACAAATTAACAAGAAATATATATACCTATATAAATTTAAGTAAAAAATTATGTGGTTGTAAGGTAATGTAAGTAAAAAGATTCGATTTACCAAATTCCGAGTTACGGACAACATGAGTGTAATAAATTTGCTAACTCAAAAAATAATAAACTTACTTTGTGTTATAGTTCTATACAAATGGGCTTGTGTCTGACGCTATAAACTTTTTAGATAGTTAACCTAACAATTAAATTTAATATATTTCTGTCAAACAAATAAAGAAATATATTTGTTCACTAAAAAATAAAAAATTCTCCGGGAGTAATGGCATCAGAAATATCATGTTGAGAAATCTTGAAAATAAATTCTTCGCTTACCTTTGTAAAATACCTAAAATCAAGGCATGCTTTAAAAATTGGATATTTTGCAGAAGCATGGAAAACAGCATTCATTGCGTCCATTGGAAAATCCAACAACACAAGCTCCAACCCAATAAGTTTACTTAACTCTTTAAGCAAAATATTTGAAAAATATCTAAAACAAACCTATGTCTAAAATATCTAAGACAAACCTAATATACAGCAAGCTTAATTTGTTAAAATTGAGAGATTACAAAGAAATGATGCAAGTAGTTCATGTGCATAATATTGTAGAACTTTCAACAAAAAAATGAAAACTTCCAGAACTACAATACGAGAACGGCCAGAAACATAAGATCTAAGTGTCAATTTAAATAGACTTGAATCGATTTACAACTCCGGCATCAAACTATACAACGTGTTACCAGCTGACATAAAAATCTGCAGCGAATTTCAAAAGGCAATATAGGAAATTGAAAATTGACAAATGCAAGGCAATTTAGAAATACACATATAATATTTGTATACACCTTTTTTTTCGTTTTGCTATTTGTCTCAAAATTTTATTCTGATTTATAATCATAACTAATTTTTACCGACCATATTGTGTAAACAATAGGAAGGTCATGTGATGGCAACAAATTTTGCATATCGAGTTTTCGGTGGGAATGCACTTCTCCATAGTAGGAAAGTGTAAATAAACTATTTTTAGGAACCTGTCGGTCTGTGTGTGCACGCGTGTATCTCAGGTTCGGCTGAACCGATTTTGATGAAAATAAACTTTTCGACCATGGCACGGATTGATCAACTTTTGGTATATATGAGGCCTCTTGAACTGAACCTTTTTGCGAGCCTGTTTTACATTTTTGCACATTTTGAAAAAAATATTCAATCGATTTACTTGAATTTTTATATATAAGCTCAGCTCGACCGGCCGCGAACTCTCCTAACTTTTGGAAGAAATCAAGTGTCAGCAACTAGAAGTTTACTACGGGCCAAATATACATTTTTGCGTATATAAAGAGAAATAATCAACCGATTTCATTGAAATTTGATATTTGAGTTCTGGTTGTTACCGAAACTAACTGGCGAATTTCAGTGAATTCGGGTAGCATAAAGTGAAACTCTACTAAGAGCAAAATTTACATTTTTCTAAGTATGTTAACTATAAGCTTACTAATGTCCTAAAAATTGGAAAAAAGTATTTAACGGACATTTTTATAATATTCTGTAACACTTTCAGTTAACTAGACAATACACATTGCGATCGGTTATGTGCTGACCACATCAGATTTTTTTATTTTTATCCCTTTCTTCTTCTTTTCAAAATTTAGAATTATTTTAATGTTAGGTAATGGATGTTTCACATTCTTAGGTTAACATTTAGATCTCATGGAGTTATATGTTGATATTGTCTTAATTCTTGTTAAATCTTATTTTTTCAAATTTTTGCAATACATTTTGTAATTTTTTAAATAAAAAAAAGGAAAAAAACAGGTACTTTGTTAAATGAATTATAAATACATAGTACCTTTTTGTTACATTCTACACGAGCCAATGCGTTCACTTGAGATAAATGAAATAAATAAATAAATAAAAAATAAATAACGAAATATGATGATAACTCCTTGATTCCCCCAAGAGTTTGGGTTTCGTGCTGAGTATTCCACCTGTCATCAAGTTGCCAGAATAAACAAAAACGTATCCTTAATGTTCTCATAATAAGATGTCTGCTGGAATGATAATTTTGGATATTAAAAACCTTTTGACTCAGTTTTCCAAATGTATAAATTCAAATGTATTCAAATGTGTGCAATTAAATTTTCTAACATGTCATGGTTGCTAAAGAAACGGCGAACTTTTTGATATAATTGCAGGAACTCCTCAGGGCTCTATTTTGTCTCCAATTCTATATAATGTATATCAGATATATTTATATCTGACTCTCCAAATTGACAAACTGTTATATTGGCCTACATATGAAGAATGATACCGCCATTCTTCGAAAAGTCCGTCTAAAATTCTGTCTAATCTTGAAAATGCATACTTTGTGAATATTTTTTGAAATGAAAAATCAAAATGTACTAGACTTAGACTTTTATATCCTCTAATAAATCGCAGGTCCAAATTCAGCACCAACAACGAAATGTTAATTATATATTTTTGTGTACATACTTATAATAATATATACAAAAATGACATAAAATTACGTAATAGTTATCTTATAATTTAAGTAATATAAATTTAGGTTTATTTTTAAGTTAAGATTCGGTTTAGGCTAAAGTTCCTAAAGCACATAATAAAATAAAAGATTAAAGAAGAAAAGCAATTACTGTAACACATGTAATTTTTAATTTGTAAAGATAGCAAGATTGTCTAAGAAACTCCATTTTTAATTACCGCTTTCGACCATTAAAATTTTCTTAAAATAATGTTTTTCAAATAAGTATTAAACAGCTTTGCTATTTATTTTTAAGCTTTGGCAGACAAGTTTATACTTAAAAACAATTTTTCGTAAACAATAACTTTTTCATCGTACCTTTAAAGTAAAAGTTTATGAGAATACTACTGTTTTTTTTTGTCTAATATCTAAGTTAATTTAAAACTTGTAAGATTTTCAGTCATTCTAATATATAACATTTTCATTAATTTTTTTAACGTTTCATTTTGAAAAATATAGACTTTATAAAAATAAGCAAATTCTAAACTTTTTCAAAACTCTTATTGTCTTTTTGTTTTTCATTTTCAGAAGAAAAACTTAGCTTATAGGCGTCGCGCTGATCGGCCCCGACATAAGGGGCCATGACGCGTTGGCCCTTTGAACTGCTCCTACTGCTCTCGGTGGCAGCAGCTATTGCCCCGGGTGCAATTTCACACTATAATAATAATTATTATGACAATAGAACTGCATTAACTGTGGGATATTTAACTGCAATGAAGGGTGAAATGAGAGATAAACAAGGATTGGCTATTTCTGGGGCCTTAACAATGGCTCTCGAAGAGGTAAAATAGGGAGATATTCTATAGTATAAATAATAATTTTCTATATTCATTTATTGTTATAGGTCAATAACGATACAAACTTATTGCCAAATGTCCGACTTGATTTAAGATGGAATGATACTCGTGGTGATACGGTTATTGCAACAAGAGCAATAACTGAAATGATATGTGATGGAATTGCAACATTCTTTGGACCAGAAGGACCTTGCAACGTTGAAGCGATTGTTTCACAAAGTAGAAACATACCAATGATATCGTATGTAAGTTGTTTATAGATTTACAAAGAGACTTAGTAAATGATATTATTCTAGGTATTCGACTTTCGCTCATATGCCTTGAAGTAAAACTAGTATAATGCAATAACTTTATGCAATATACTAGTCCCCTAAAATGTAAAATGGCCCTGTAATGCAATAACTTTTTGGTTTATTCAGTTTTACTTTAATAATTTTTTTACAAACTTTTAATATAGTTTGAATTTTCATCTGAATTTGAAATTATAAAAAAGGCAGTTTTCGCATGGTAAAAACTTTTAACCATGTTATAAAATTTTCACCATAACTTTGAGAAATATCTTAACATATCAAACTAACATAGTAAAAAAAAATCTGATGTGGTCATCACATAACCAACCGCAATGTGTATAGTCTAGTTAAGTGAAAATGTTACAGAATATTATAAAAATGTCTGTTAAATACTTCTTTCCAATTTTTAGGACATTAGTAAGCTTATAGTTAACATACCTAGAAAAATGTAAATTTGGCTCTTAGTAGAATTTCGGTTTGTGCTACCCGAATTTCCTAAAATGCTTGCCAGTTAGTTTCGGTAACAACCAGAACTCAAATATCAAATTTCAAGAAATTCCATCAATTCGTTCCGCAGATATGGTTAAAAATGTAAAATCGGCTCGCAGATCAGTTTTCGAACACTGATCTTTTCAAAAAATTTATATGTTCATTGTTTTAGTACGAAAAACTTAAATATTAAATTTTAATGAAATCGGTTGATTATTTCTCTTTATATACACAAAAATGTATATTTGGCCCGTAGTAAACGTCTAGTTGCTGAGACCTGATTTCTTCCAAAAGTTAGGAGGGTTCGCGGACGGTCGAGCGAAGCTTATATATGAAATTTCAAGCAAATCGGTTGAATATTTTCTTTAAAATGTTCAAAAATGTAAAACAGGCCCGCTAAAAAGTGCAGCTCCCGAGGCGTGATATATCCCAAAAGTTGATCAATCCGTGCCATGGTCGAAAAGTTTATTTTCATCAAAATCGGTTCAGCCGAACTTGGGATACACGCGTGCACACACAGACCGACAGGTTGCTAAAAATTGTTTATTTACACTTCCCTACTATGCAGAAGTGCATTCCCACCGAAAACTCGATATGCAAAATTTGTTGCCATCACATAACCTACCTATAGTATACACAATGCGGTCGGTAATTAATGCAATAAAAAATCGGTACAAGGAACTTCAAAAGTCACATAAATTTCATTCGTGTGACAACCAAATCATATCGTAATGATTCATATAACGTAATAAAGAAAAGTATTATTCGTTAAGGAGTGTGTCTCCTATATTAGAGTACTGGATAAATACATCTAATATGGATTCTAAAGAGACTTAGGAGTCCAAATTTTTATTTTGCATAAAATTGTTTAGAAGAAAAATTTACAAGCTCTCTATGAACTGTGATTTTAAAGTAAGGTAGAAAAAATTTCTTTGGTATATTTAAATCCATCTATAGTTTGAACTTTTGAAACTTTTGTTTTATATTTCAAATTCAAATTTATGGTTAAAAATTTTTTATTAGGGTTGAATGCTTCTTAAAATTTGAAAATAAAATAAAATAGACAATCCTTTTTTGTTCAGTGAAGTAAAGAACACGTAATTCTGTTATAAATTAATTTTAGTTTCATGCAAAAATTAAATAATTTATATTATTAAAGTTATCAAACAATTTTAATATAAAATATAATATAAAATTTAATGTAATAATTTATATAAATTATAATATTAAAAATATATAATGTTATAAAATATCATACAATAATTTTTCCTTGTTACTTAAATCTTATGGCCAGTGTAGGTAAAACTATATTCTGTTCCTTACCACTCTGACAAGATTCAATATGGAAATTAATAAACTTTAATGTCAGAATTTTATTATGCTATTAATCTTAAGGATTTCGGAATATTTGTGGCAATATGTTAACCCAATAACTTTCAAGGTGGTTCTTAAAGTTAACTTTATGTTCAGTCATTGCAAAATAATACTATGCTTTGCACGTATCTGTCATTTAAGTTTCATAAATACCTTAATATATTTTTATATGCTTATTAAGGATTATCTATTCGCATATTGTCACAAGTTAAGAAAAAAGGTGATTATGAGGAGAAAAAGAAAATTATTTTTCTATCGATTTTTGATTTACAGAAAGTATAATAAACATTTTTATCCTTTATTTTTGAACTTCTTCATTTAAATTTACTTTTATTTCTTAATCCACTTCAACTTCTGTTTGTTTTTCTTTTTTTCATTAAATTTCAAACTCTTATTTTTCTTTTTTAAGAACATTTTGTTGTATTAAATATCAAAGTTTTTAAGCTTCGTTTATTTTCGCGCATCTTAAAAATGAGTTTCAGCGTGTGAGAAAAATGTGTCCCATCTAGTTCATCCAAAAGAACAAATAATTACTCCAGTTACTGCATTGGAATAGTAATAGTTGCAAGTTTATTCTTTCACAAAATTAAGAAATAATGGTCTGAAATTTAAGAATTTGAAAGTAAAATTAAGAAATAATGGTCTGAGATATAAACATAAGTGTATGTTTTTGATCAGGGTCAAATTTTGAGTCGATTTCGTTCAACGATGGTTCGAAAACTATAATTTACCAGAACTACGCTTACCAAATTTTCTCAAGTCACAAATAATTTATGATAGTAAATGTCGTAACCTTATTTAAATTGAATGTGATCGAGGTAATGGTTCTGGTAGCGGCTCTTCAACCTCAAAAGTTATTTGGCTATATTTCAGAAATTATTGAAGCTATAATATAGAAATTTCACACAAGCAAATACATATATTATTTGAACTGTTATGTTCAATATAATGTATAAAGAAATATGATAACATAGCCATTAATTTTCATTAGGAATTGTTGAGTGCTTATGATAACTGGCATACAACTTCAAAAGTTATTTGGCTACACTTTGGAAATTATAGAACCTACACTATTGACATTTCGCACAAGCAAATATTTTATTAGGGACTTCGAAACGGGACATTTGGAATTTTTTCCATAGAAGTCGTTCATGTAGTCTACACCTATGTTTTTTAAAAGTTACCTCTATTATATCTACAATTTATTATATTTCTTTAGCTGTACCTGACCGTTGCTGAAGTGGTTATGACACCGGTTCACCACGAAGGGCTTCGGGTTCAAACCCTAGTCAGGTCACTATAAAGTATTATATTTAATATTATAACTTACCTTATATATAAAATATGGTATACAAGTAATTCTCATATACTCATAACTTCGACATTAAAAAAAACTAAGAAAAATAAACAGTAAATATAAAATAACCTTAAATATTTAATATAATGAAAAAACTACGGCAGGCTAGTCATCTACATAGTTAAAACTTTATAACGCAATGAAACTGTGGCATGGCTATCTATGATGTCATGCACTAACCCTATGCTCCCCATATGAGTGAAAAAAGAACCAAGAAAAATATTTGGTTAAATAAGTGGTTAATAAATGACATTGCGCTAATTGTAAAATGCACATATAAATTGAAATAAATATTCAAAATTATATCGTAAAATCTTTTCTTTCCTTTTGAGATATCTATAATTTTGCCTGCATGATTTACAGTCTGTTTGATGAAATATTTATGTTTGTCGCTGGTACATTTAACAACTATTAAAATCACTTCAACGTACGTTTTGTGTTCACATTCAAAAAAATCTGATGTGATCAGCACATAACCGACCGCAATGTGTATTGTCTAATTAATTTGAAAATGTTACAGAATATTATAAAAATGTCTGTTAAATACTTCTTTCCAATTTTAGGACATTAGTAAGCTTATAGTTAACATACCTAGAAAAATGTAAATATGGCTCTTAGCAGAATTTCGCTTTGTGTTACCCGAATTCCCTGAAATGCTCGCCAGTTAGTTTCGGTAACAACCAAAACTCAAATATCAAATTTCAAGAAATTCTATCAATTCCTTCCGTAGATATGGTGAAAATGTAAAATCGGCCCGCAAATCAGTTTTCGAGCCCTGATCTTTCCAAAAAATTTATATGTTCATTGCTTTAATAGCAGGAAGTCAAATATTAAATTTCAATGAAATCGGTTGATTATTTCTCTTTATATACCCAAAAATGTATATTTGTCCCGTAGTAAACGTTCAGTTGCTGAGGTCTGATTTCTTCCAAAAGTTAGGAGGCTTCGCGGTCGGTCTAGTGAAGCTTATATATAAAATTTCAAAAATGTGAAACAGGCCCGCTAAAAAGTGCAGTTCCCGAGGCCTGATATATCCCAAAAGTTGATCATTCCGTGCCATGTTCGAAATAAACTTACATATAATAATTCATCTAAGTCGGTTCACCCGAACTTGAGATACACGCGTGCACACACAGATCGACAGACCGACAGACTGACAGACCGACGGACCGACAGGTTGCTAAAAATCGTTTTCTTACACTTTCCTACTATTTCACACCGAAAACTCGATATCCAAAATTTGTTGCCATCACATAAACTACCTACTGTATACACAATGCGGTCGGTAAAAAGAATATATTGCTGAAAAATGTGTGAAATTTTGCCATACTTGTACAGTATAATGGTAATAGTGACATTTTGTGCAAATGTAAAATAGATAAAAATCATAAGATTGCGTTTTAGTCAAAAATTGACAGATATCAGAAAACAGTATGTGCGAGTTATGAGCAAATAATATGTGGAAGTTGTGAGTAAATGAACACACATTTCAAAATATTTTAAAATAACGTTGAAATCAACTTTGCAATTCTTTAATTATGTGGTAATGAACAGATTTTAAGCGGTTTAATAAAATATTATTATTTTTAAGTAGAAAACAAGGACTAATTATATCTTATCAACATGCTTATATTCAATTCATTTTCCTCGTTTTAGAAGCATAAAATATGTCACTCTATTTATATTTATTGCAATACTTGAAATTTTGCGTAAACGCGCTTATATCAGTTTTATTTTCTTCATAAATTTTTGATTTATTTAACTATACGTTAAGATTTTGTTTACATATTTAGCAATATTGGTTTTCTTTTTAAAGATGAGTGTATCTATTTTGCTTTTCTGCTATTACGTTAATTTTTTAAGACTTAAGGTACAGGAAATTAAAAATTCTAAAATACTTTAACTCTCAAGAGACGTTATGTTAAAGTTCTATAAATTTACCTTTTACTTAATATATCTTGTGCTTTTTCTTCTGAATAAAATATAATGACTACAAAATATTATAATAAATATAAAGTATGAGTTTTTCCAGTTAATTTTTTTTCATTGAAGTAAAAAAAATTAAACATTTCTTATAAAATATATTTTCCTATTTGATCAAATATTTTTGAATATTACTTGTTATTTTTCAGAAATGTTCGGATTATCAAGCATCAGTTATACCAACATTTGCAAGAACAGAACCGCCAGATACGCAGGTAATTAAAATAAACTATTTTTTTCGTTTATTCCCGCAAATTCAATTGCGAATTTTTTTATGACGGGTTATATTATCACCATTTCGTTTGTATTCTGTGTTCAACTTGAGAATATTGGGAGCTGCAATATTCGACCTAGAAATTTTTTGTTTGCAATCACAAATTGTTAGCAATGTATTAATTTGCTAATATAAATATAAGTATGCAATATTCAATTTCCCCAAATTCTGTAGAATATCGTAAAGAATTCTGTTAAATATACATACATTATAGATGTACCTATGTATTGACGATGCCTGTGTATTTTAAGTATAACAAGGATTACTTACTGAGGAATCAAACGATGTGCTTATAATTATTCCGGTTTTTAGCACTTTTCCAAAAAATTTTTTGAAAAAAGTGCTTATTAGTTTCACTCTGTCCGTCCGTCCGTTTGTCCGTGTGTCTGTTTACAAAACTTTTACAATCTTGAAGATAGAAAGCTGAAATTTTATGTGTACATAGATTTTTACTAGAAACTAATTTTCGTAGAACATAATTTTTACTCTAAAAGTTATCTCCCCCCATCTAAAAGTTGGTGACCAGACACCTCATCATACGAGACATTTCATCATTGTAACATTTCATCATTGTAACATTTCATCATTATAGCAATTCATCATTGCACATTTCAACATTATAGCAATTCATCATTATTGTATTTCATCACCATAACATTTCATCACTAAGATGCCTGTGATCTTAAGATCACAGATAAACTGGCCTTGCAAAGAAATTTCTTATCAGATTATGATTTAATATACCCTTGGTGCACAGCAGCAGTGCCCTCATTCTTAGCTGACTATCGAACTTACAACATCTCTTGTAGAACTCTTTCAGGTAAAGTGATATTAAAGCAAATTTATATAATAATAAGCTATAGTAATTAATCTAGACAATTCTTTTTTAATTTAAAAGCAAAAGTTAATTTAAATGCTTTGATCACTGTGGCACAATTTCTCACTGGGCAAATTGGTAAGTTGCCCATGTAAATTATGAAGCGCTCGGCGATCACCAATATAAATTCAATAAGCAAATTGCCCATTGAAATTGTATTGGCGACTGTCAGTAGCTGCACTGTGCAACAAAACTGCAAACTGCTTCAACATGTTGCCAAAATTGTTCAGTATGTTAATTACTTAATTACACTTACATGTACTTATGTTTGCAAAATGCACTTTATGCAATGATAAAATGTTATGGTGATGAAATTCAATAATGATGAATTGCTATAATGTTGAAATGTGCAATGATGAATTGCTATAATCATGAAATGTTACAATGATGAAATGTTACAATGATGAAATGTCTCGTATGATGATATGTCAGGGAACCCTAAAAGTTATACCCCCCTAAAATCTAGATATAAGAAATTTTAATAAAAAATATTCTAAAATTTAGATATAAGATTATACATTTGTAATATTATGTTCTTATTATTAGAAGAAAACAAATAAAGAAAAAAAAAACCCTAAAAATGCAATTTTTCAACTACTTGTTGTAGTAGAACCATATGCATTTTCCAAATTTTAGGAACGCAGAAAGGCAGTGGGTTGCTTCTTTTATCACGGCATCTTATACGTGAATTTTAAAAAAGCAAAATGTAAAAATTTACCATTTGCCGTTAAAATTTACCGTTATATAAAATAAGTTTTTCTCAAATTTTTAATGTTGTTTATCTTCTAGTTCCCAGGTTGTGGGAGCCTAAATAATTAATTGAGCCAAATAGTTCATTTCGTTAGAAGAAAATTTTTTCCATCTCCACCCCCTCTCAAGTTATCGCCTCTTGAAATTTGTAAAATTTGAATTTTTGACGCTTATATTTCCGAAACAGTAAGCTTTTTCAAATTTCTATAAACACAGAAAGCTAATAGTAAATTCCATGACATTAAGAAATATAATTATTTTTCTTAACTCACGCAATTAAACTTTAAAATCGAGCATTATGTTAATCCTTTTTAAATTAATTTTTGCTTTCAAAAACTGCATAAACTGTTCATCCTAAATATATGCAATCCTAGAAATAGTTTCGTATATGAATGAAAATAATTTTAATAGTGCGGTAGGTATACATAGATTGTTTTTCAAAGCAGTATTTTCACTTGTTGAAGGGAAAAGTGCTGCAATACAAACCATTGATTCGACCCAACTTTATTTATTTTATTCTTGTGAAAAATTTCGTTAAAAATTTAATAAATTTCGCACAGATTTGTAGGTAAGTATGTAGTCTTATAAGGGGAATAAATTTATTTTTGAAAATATCAAGAATTGATATCTTTTGCCTAGATAGATGTAAATATGTATGCGTATAAATATAATTTGAGTTTGAATTCGGTTCCAAGAAAAAAGGATGTACAAAACAAAATCTATTTAATAAAAGATTGATCTTCATATTGGGATTTCATTTATTATTTTGTCTCTGTAGCAAATAAAATTTTAAAATTTACTATTATTAAAAATGATTGCCTCAGGTGACAAATTTTAAATGATTATTTATTTATCAAAGACAAATTTTTAAGAGAATATTTTAATTAAAATAAAATTCTTTATTGAACTTTAATTTGTTTGAATACATGCAATCATACATATATGATTTTCTAAATACCTATCTGTAAGATTTCCTTTCAACATTTTTTGAAATTTTATTGTACGGCATTCATTTCCTGTTTTTTTTTCATTTTATTTATTTTACACCTACAGAACTTATATAATATTATATAAGACTTCGTTTTATATCTATTTAATTTACAAATTATTTGTTTTGTTGAAATCAATTGAAATATATATACTTACTCTAATTTAAACTGATATACAAAATATTGAAATAAATTATGGGAAATTATAATCAATATATCAATCATAATAATTTTTATTTCTATAATATGTATGTATATATCTGTATGTAAATGTAATTATATTTGCCAATGGTTTGTGTTATAGCACTTTTCCCCTAAACAAGTGAAAATTCTGCTTTAAAAAAGTCTATGTATACCTACAACACTATTAAAATTATTTTCATTCATAAACGAAACTATTTGTAGGATTGCATATTACCGTTAGCTTTTTGCGTTTATAGAATTTTAAAAAAACTTGCGGTTTCGGATATATAAGGAGTCAAAAATTCAAATTTTACAAATTTCAAGAGGCGATAACTTGAGAGGGGTGGAGGTGGAAAAAAATATTCTCCTAACGAAATAAAGTATTTATTAGTGTTTAAAAGCTGATGAAATTTCAGGTTCCTGCAACCTGGGGTGTAGAAAAAAAACGACATCAAAAATTTGGAAAAAAAGGATTTTAGATAACGGTAAATTTTAGCGGCCATTTCGTTTTTTTAAAGTTTGAATATAGTATGCCGCGATAGGAGAAGTAAGCCACTGCTTTTATGCGTTTGAAAAATTTAAAAAATGCTTATAGTTTTATTGCAATTAATAGTTAAAAAATGGCATTTTTAGGGTTTTGGGAGGGTATAACTTCTATAAAGTTTTATAAAGTTTCAGCTTTCTATCTTCAAGGGTGTAAAAGTTTTGTAAACAGACACACGGACAGACGGACGGACGGACAAAGTGAAACTAATAAGCAATTTTTTTCAAAAATTTTTTAGAAAAGTGTTAAAAAGTGGCCACATTATTGGATATCGTTTTCCTCTTCTCACCTCTCATGGTTTTCACATATTTGATTTGACATTTTTTCCAAAAGGCAGGTTGTTTCTCGTACTGTCCGACAAAGGTTAAGTTATTCAAAGTTATTATGTTGGGTATTTTCAAAGTGATCAAAATGTAAAATTGCTCCGTAAAAAGGTTCAGTTTCCTGTTAGAATAGTAGATCAATTCGTTACACCACTAAGGTAAACTCAGTTCAACTGAACTCTTTAAAAATACTTTATATACGTCTTCCTACCTTGCTGTGTGCAATGTGGACAGTAATAAATGAAAATGTTCATGTAAAATTTTATATACATATTTATTTATGTATTATATAAATCGATGTATATGTATGTGCTATATATACGTAAGGATTTAAGGAGCTATTTTCCAAATATGAGAAGCGAATAATGTTATATTCCTTTAAAAACAGGACTTTTGGTTAAAAATCTACAATTTCTTAGAGAAAAGTACAAATTAAACATTATTTATTTAGGGTAAGTACGTATGTGTGTGTATTAAATTTATTTACTCATGTTCTTTTTTAGCACTTTTCCAAAAAATTTTTGAAGAAAAGTTATTATTAGTTCACGAATTTTTTAATTAATGCCATTTTTTACTATTTATTGCAGTGATACCATAACAATTTTTTAAATTTTGCAAACGCAGCAAACGAGTGGCTTGCTTCTTCTATCGCGGCATACCATATTTGAACTTTAGAAACAAGATGGCCGTTAAAATTTTCGGTTATCTAAAATCCGTTTTTTTTTTTCAATTTTCAATATTGTTTTTCTTGTAGACCCTAATTTGTAAAAGTCTGAAATTTAACAGCTTTTAGATCCCAATAATAGTTCATTTCGTTAGAATATAATTTTCTTCCACCTCCACCCCCTTTCAAGTTATCGCGTCTTGAATTTGAATTTTTGACTTGTTTTAATAATTGTCGTTATACTACTATAAAATTCTAATTCAACATACATTTTATTGGTACGAGTATATAGTGCTCATACAAGTTTTGAAAAAAAAAAAACATTTACCAAATCAAATTATAGTTCTTAGGGAAATTAATTTTTTTTTACTAATTTTTTAATTCGCAGGCTTATTTGCGTGTACATAGCCTTCTTCTTGTGGGCTAAAATAAGAAATAAAAAATTCTAAAAAAAAAATAAAACCTTTTAAAATAAGAATTGAAAAATTAAAATTTTTACTTTCAACTACATTTATTTAATTTTTCTTACAGGTAACAAAATCTGTGATATCGCTCTTACGTTACTATGGTTGGAAAAAATTCTCTATAATATACGAGGACACATGGCAGACTGTAGCACAATCATTATCAAAACAAGCTTCAACAAAAAATATGACTATCAACCACAATGAAATGGTTATGGATAACTATAAGTGCTGCGAAAATAATTTTGCATGTTGTCGGAGCGGCTATTGGTACCAAGTACAAGAAATTTTTTTTAGAGAAAAAATTAATTAAACAATTTATTTAAATTTTTTATCGACCGCTTTGCATATAATAAGGGAGGTTATGTAATAGCGACCAATTTCGAATGTCCAGTTTTCAGTTCAAACGCATTTCTCCGTAGTAGTGAAGCGTAAATAAACTATTTTCAGATCAGTTTGCGGTTCTGTGTTTGCACGCGCGTATCTCAAGATCGGCTGAATCCATTTTAATGAAATGTATGTATGAGTTTATTCCGGCTATGTCACGGATTGATCAACTTTTGGGATATATCAAGCCGCGGGAACTGGACCTTTTTGCGGGCCAATTTTACATTTTTGCACGTATAGAGAGAAATAACCAATCTATTTCCTTGAAATTCCGTTTATCACATCTTCGGAACTAATTGATGGGATTTCTCGAAATTTACCATTTGTGTTTAATTTAAATTGTAAGGAAGTGTCTAAAATGCATTTTCGTAATCTTCTGTAACATTTTCACTAAACTATCAAATGATAACATCAGATTTTTTTGTTTATCGTATTTTTTAAAATATAATAAAATACGCAGTTATTTAAAAGTTAGGAAAAGTTTGTATTCTCTAGAGCAGCGCTATATTTTAGAGTCATTCTGAGTTCCGAATTTAAAACACAAAAAAAAGTTGAAGCCAAGTATGTATCATAAAATAATAAAAAAATGTGTAGAACTTTAAACAAACGGATTTACTTCATATCACTGCATTGAAAATGCTATATAAATGTTTGTTACAAATAAAATTGATTCGTATGAATAAGAGCTATAAATCAACTTTAACATTTAGGTTAAAAAATTATACATAACCGTGTTATAGTTAAGATTAATTTTTTGGCTAGGTTAGTTAACTCTTTCTAAATTTCTGTCAAATTTTAAAGCATTGCATAATCGGAATATTTTGCAGGTCTATCCTAGATGCCCATAATAACTCTCAAAAAAAGATTAAATTACCAGTTTTACTTTTTTTTCACCCAAAGTATTTTTTTTGTTTTTTGCTCATTGTTACTCAAGAAGAAATATGTTAATATGTTAAGTATTTAATATTATATAAAATTTAAATTACCAAATGTTTACAATAATTTTTTAAAAGTTTTAAACTTTTCAAAAAAATTTTCATTGAAAATGTTGATATTATTCCGAAATATAAAACTTAGTTTAGGTGTGTGAAAAGAAGACTCCCTTTTCCTCGGAATAATATACTTTTATTTTTTATGTAGTTCGTGCTTTGCGTACGCACTTTAGAAAAGCTGATTTTCTTTTCCTGATAGAAGAAAATCAGCTTTGGTAATGTGCGTATTTTAGCAAAAATAAAAGTATTTTATTCCGAAGAAAAAGGAGTTTTATTTTTATACACCTAAAAAAAATTATCAACGTTTAGTTGCATTTGTAAAATGCATTAAAAAAATTTTTAGAGAAAAAGTTTTTCTTTAATTTTTTTCTCGTTTAGGTTATACAGAGTACAAGAAACCGTACAAGAATATATGTATTTCTTGGAACACCATCCGCTCTCGTTGAAATGATGAACACTATGGAGACCTTACAACTCTTTTCGAAGGGAGAGTATATGGTTATATTTGTAGATATGATGACTTATTCACCAAAGTAAGTATAATTTTAATAACAGATTAAGTAAACTTAGCAGGTCCCTTCACGAGACAGTATTAAACAATCTTATTGAAAAACGAGAAAAAAATGGAGTTCACCTTGTCAACTCTGTGATACCCTTACGAATTTGTTATCCTATGTGCGAATAAAGATGCCATAACTGACTATGGGATTATGGTAATCATGTATTATATGGTAAATTAATATGGTAAAGTTTATGCAAATTTTCAGTACTATGTGTTTTTCAAAATACTGTGTGTGCCAAACTACTATTTAAGTTGTATGGCAGCTACCAGAAATTTCAATACCACAGCTTTTACAGTTTCTGAGATGTAGCCAAATAACTTTTGAATTTATACGACAGCTACCTGAAGGAGCCAAGCAATTTCAACGACTTTTATCAAACACATTGGCCCTACTAATATATTCGCTTGTGTGAAATTTCAATACTATAGCTTTTATAGTTTCTGAGATATAGCCAAACAAATTTTGAAGTTTTATGGCAGCTACCCGAACCGGTACCCTGATCATGTCCAATTTAAATAGGGTTCTGACACTTACTACAATAAATCATTTGAGAAAATTTGGTGAACTTAGCTCAATTAGTTTTTGAGTTATCGTTGGGACGGACAGGCAAAGCTAAATCGACTCAGAATTCGACGCTGATCAAAAACATACACTTGAGTCTATATCTAAGACCGTTATTTCTTAACGTTACAAACGGTAAGGCAAATTTAGTATACCCTTCGAATATACGTTCGTACGGGTATAATGCTATTTGTCTCGTGAAAGAATTGTTTTTTCATCAAAAATTATTTAATTCTCTGACAGTTTGTCAGTTAACTCAAATATACATACATATATGTACATGTACTTTGACATCGCAAAAAATAATTCAGTTAATTTTAAATGAAATTATTTTAAATCTAGCCTCGATCCCTTTTATCATAAATGAGTTAAGTGACATCCGCTTTTTTCATTTGTTTGAAATTTTGCAAAACTTTTTAAATGGAATAAATGCAGCTTCTCAAGTTTATAAGCAAATGTAATGAAAATTCAGTTTTGCCTCTTAGAGTTAAAATACAGTTTTAATCAAAAAGCTAAAATTAAAAGAAAACGAAATTGTATTTAAAAATATTAATATTCCATAAATTTTATTACTTTCGTAAATTTTTTAATTTGATAGTTTTGTATTTTTTGACTCATAGTTTCACAATTTTAAGCATTAATTAATTAAAGCCTTATTTTTGACGGATCATACACAAGTTTAATTCCATAACATTTACATTTCAAAAAATTTTAAACTTTTGTCCTATAATTGAAAGAAATTTATAGCAATTGTTTAAATCAAGTGCTACAAGTTTATTTAATGAAAAATTCATTTTTCGCATTTTTTTAAAAAACATTTAACACGTTTTACTGGAAAAACTATGAGAGATAGAAGAAAATGTCATATGAGTTAATTTTTAGCTCTTATCGTAGCGCATTAAAAAAAACAAAATAATAACAAAAAAAGAAAAATTCTGATTTTGACGAGTTTTATCTCGAAAACTATGGCTCAAATCTAATTAATTGGAGGGCCAAAATTAAAGGACGATCAATCCCCTATAAAACAAACTTCTAATGATGACTCTATGTTGTATGGTTCCGCAATTATAAGCATTTATTTATATGCAGGAAAAGTCGAGTATCTTTTTTTTCAACAGGTTGTAGCTTGAAAACGACTATATCTACCCCCCTCACCCACACAATTTTTTGCTGGAAATTGATCAAAGAATCATCCCTGAAATTATTTGCCACCTTATGCGAAGCACTGTATATTATATAAAAATTGTATCAAAAATTACAAAAAAATAAATTTGGGTCAAACCAATGGTTTGTATAGTAGCACTTTTCCCTTCAACAATATTAGTGAAAATACTGCTTTAAATACAGTCTATGTATACCTATCACACTATTAAAATTATTTTCATTCATATACAAAACTATTTCTAGGACGATGAACGATCTATTCAGTCTTTGAAATAAAGCAATATTTAATACAAAGTGGGGTTAACATAATGCTCGATTTTAAGGGTTAGTTGTGTGAGTTAAAAAAAATAATTATATTTTTTAATGTCATTGAATTTACAGTTAGCTTTTTGTGTTTATAGAAATTTGAAAAAGCTTGAGGTTTCGGAAATATAAGGTGTCAAAAATTCAAATTTTACAAATTTCAAGAGGCGATAACTTGAGAGGGGGTGAAGATGGAAAAAAATTTTCTTCTAACGAAATGAACTATTTGTTAATGTCTAAAAGCTCCTAAAATTTTAAGGTTCTACAAGCTGGGGTGTAGAAGAAAAACAACATAAAAAATTTGGATAAATCGGATTTTATATAACGGTAAATTTTAACGGCCATTTGTTTTTAAAGTTCAAGTATAGTATCGCGTGATAAAAGAAGCAACTGCTTTTCTGCGTTTGCAAAATTTGAAAAATACATATGGTTCTACAATAAAGAGTTGAAAAATGGCATTTTTAGGGTTTGAGGGGGAATTATTTTAAGGTTTTGGGAGGGGCTAAATTTTGGAAAGGGGAGATAGGTAAAAATTATGCTCTACGAAAATTAGTTTCTAGTAATGATCTATGTACATATAAAATGTCAGGTTTCTATCTTCAAGGGTGTAGAAGTTTTGTAAACAGACACACGGACAGACGGACGGACGGACGGACAGAGTGAAACTAATAAGCACTTTTTTTCAAAAATTTTTTGGAAAAGTGCTAAAAAAAAAAAAAAAATAAGTAGTAAAATTTGTTAACACATCAACTTATTATCTTTTTGCAGAGAAGCGGAAAAATATTTGTATCGGCCGGAAACATTGGATAAAATGATATCATGTACATTTCAGGAAAATTTTTTAAAAAGAGCAAAAAGTTTATTGGTTGTTGTATCAACGCCACCGACTGACAATTATCAAGAGTTTACAGAACGTGTTAGAGAATTTAATTTAAAGGAACCTTTTAATTTTTCAATTCCACCTATATTTAATGATAAAAAAATTGTAAAGGTAAGTAAAACTTTTTAATATTGAAATAATTATATCAAATAAAAAATAGCACATTATTTTAAAAATCTCGTAAAGGAATGTTATTTTAGTCAAATATTGTCTTTAGCAAAAGCAAATAATATTTGCATTTTTCGCATTTTTTAAACACATTTAACACGATTAACTGGCTTAACTATGAGAGATAGAGAAAAATATTGTATGGGTAGTGTTGCCAATTGGTAAAAACAAAATATATCATATTTCGGGAAAAAATGTATCCAAATTGTTTGCCTTGTAAAGTTGAGTTATCATACTAAGTCGTAACTTAATTTAAATTAGTAAAGTTAGCCAGTTCTAGACTTGAACATAAGAAGAGTGGCACTGTTACTTTCCTACTTTCTTCTAACACATTTGGAAATCTGCTTTGTAGAGCAAGCAAATAAGATTTTTTACAGATAAAATAATTTTGCAATTTAACATTAGCATTACTTTGAAAGTTTTGTAACATTTATTTAGTGTTTGAGAAAGAAATGTACCCACATTTCAGCAAAATTTTTAAATGTAGCCAATTGCGGTCTTTTTACAGATTTGGGTATCTTTGTATCCACGTTAAATTTCAAGCAAAAATGTATTCAAATGAATGCAATTATATCTAAGTGGAAAAGCTGTATACCTTTTTTTCAACAGGCCGGAGTCTAAATCGGGGGTGAATATCTGCTGTATGTTATTGATTTATCTGTATATTTTATTGATTGTGAATAATGTCTGTACAATTTAAAAATCGATATCTTAACGAATTATTCTAGATTAAATTTTTTTAGTGTTATTGCTTACAAATTGTATTTATGCCAAAGGAGGAATATGTACATACATATTTAAAAAAACAGAACACTCAATGATAGCTTGATGGAATATTCCGAACATAATTGATGAAAACAAAATTTCAACGCAAATAAAAAAAACACATAACATAATGTTTGAAATATTTTAAATTAACAAAAAATCGCATTTTAACGTTCTACATTACGTACATATAATGTATATGAAAAAGATATTTTTTTAAATATCCTGGAAGTGGAAATACAATTATCTTTTTATTTTATTAAGTGTTATTTAAACAAAGAAAATTTTCTATTAATTTAAGTGTATTGATTAACTAACAAGAAGCTCTAACGAGTGTAGAACTTAAAATTATTCATTGAAAACGCTCAAAATTAAAATACATTTAAAATTTTTAATCTTAAATTATTGTAGAAATTCGATTTCAATTTGCTGGTAAACAAAACAAAAAACTTTGTATTGGTAAACAAAATTTAGAAAGTTTTGTCAGTTTTTTGTCATTTTTTTCTTTGTTTGTCTCTACCTTTGCATTAGCCAGTTTGCTATTCAAATTTATTTAAATATGTAAAACGTGTCACAAAATGACGCATTAATATTTTTGTTTTTCGAATTGCTTTTGCTTTACTTTGATAAGCCTTTAGTTTGTTTTTTGTATTTTTATGCAAATTTTTTTATATTTTTCGTTTTTAATTTCCAAGTCATGTGATTTCGATCGTAAATTAAAAAATTAAGATAAAATGATCACCAAAGTTAGTAGGTAATATAAAAAATATGAATGAATTTTTTTGACGTATTCTAATTCAAATTGAAAAAACACATACATATGTTCGTATACAGAGCGAGTATAAATGAACGTGCAACTATGCTAATATAAGCACATATTGTCTTCAGGAATAAGATTCATTTGAATTCATGACACTGGAAATCTTTGAAATTTTAATTTTGTTTAGAATGATAAAGAATAAAAACTCGCCTAAAACCTCAAGTTTTGGTTAATTTCTTTTTATAATAATCTTCAATATTTAAATATAATGACATCAAAAACTTTATTTTTGTTCATTTACAGTTTGTGTCAATATATGCCGCCTACCTCTATGATTCCGTTAAACTTTATGCCTGGGCTTTAGATAAGCTATTGCGTCAGGAGAAAAGACCATTGACAGATGATGTGGTAAGAGACGTTGCAAGTAACGGAACGAAAATTATTGAAACAATCATTAATAATCACACATACAAAAGTAAGTTTAAAAAATATTGTAACAATATACATGTGTAACAATGTATGTGCAAATATTTGAACTAAATACCAAACTGCGTTGCAATTATTATGCACAAGAGAAGTTACTTTAAAGTAAATGTGGATTTTGTTAATTGTTATTATAAATATATTAGTTTATATAATTAGCTAGTTATACATATACAAAACAAATTCTCAGTTAGGTTTAAGGTACTAAAGGTATTCACTTTTTTTTTAGTTACTCTCCTATTACCTAACTATGGGTATCATCTTAGATTATTTAAATTAACAATTTATTTAGAGTATATTTTAAAATGTATAGGAAGAAACAACTAATGCACAAGAATATCTTGCACCCCGTTTTAAACTCATTAAAATAAAATAATAACACAATTTGATTTATATTTAATTTTGTTTATAAAGTACATGGAAGTTTATTTTTTAAAATGTATTTATTTTAATCTTGAGCGAATTTGAAATTATAGATGTAATCAAAACGCTATGGTATAACACAGAATTTCGTTCATTTTGTAAAATAAATTTTCTGATCCAAAATTTTTCTTTTCAAATAAGTATTAATTTTTCCAATTTTTTACATATTATTTAAACCGCTATCGACTAATGAATTGATTCAAAGTCAAGTATATGAATTGTGGGCATCATATCAGACTGTTTTTCTTAAATAGAACTCAACAAATGTTATCCCTCCTACTTTTTAATAAAATATAAGAAAATTATAATAATTTTTTTTTATATTTTTTAGGTGTGACTGGAGCAACAATTAAAATAGATAAAAATGGTGATTCTGAAGGAAATTTTTCGGTTGTTGCTTTAAAACCATATAGGCATAATATACGAGAAAATATAACATGCGAACTACATATGGTACCAGTGGCATATTTTCAACAAGGAGCTAATTTTCCAGTGAGTGAGTTGTCACTTTTTTTGCTTTATTATGGCGCCGCAAATCATATATGTATATGCGTATTTTTGCCTTTCGTGTTAAAAAATTAATATAAAAAAGTGATTTGTTTGTAAACAATACAATAAGTTTAGAAGTTATATTTTTGTAACTTTAGGCCTAAATAAAGAAAACGATCTATTGAAATAATATTGGTACAATATAATTTTGCTTACATTTATGTTACGTAACAATACATATGGGACACGTACGTATATATATGTATATATTAGCACTAGCTATGTCTCTTTTAAAGGAATCTCCCAAAGACTAAGAACTTCTCCTTAGGACTTAATTACAAAGGCTTCTAAAACGTGTCTTCAGGAATAAAGAAATCTAAGAGTTATAATTTTTATAGGAAATTTAAATTTTGGGATATTAATTCAAGAGGAGAAATCAGTGAAAAGAAATTTTATTCTACCTGCCAATGCCTGGAAGCTTTAAAAAAAAATTTGTTAATTTTTTAATGGTAGAAGAAGTAGATTCCTAACTTTTCCTTTCTTTACAGAATTTAACAAATAATTTTTGGTTTAAGCACAGTGGTTTTCCAAAACTTTCACAACTTTGAAGAACTGTTCGGAAGGGTCCCTAAAGCTTATTTCTATATTATTTAGTTGTTCTGTCATTGATGTCGTAGAAACTTTGTAAACGGAAGGAAAAATGAATCATTTATTTAAAATTTTTTATGAAATTTAACCAATAGGTAACTCAGCTAACAATGAATTTGAAAGACCTAATGTTCTTAATGAAACTTTTATAATTTTTACATTCTAAATTCTAATTTTTCTAAACTTAATGTTTTTGTAAATAAATCCTTAATTTTTTAATTGGGAATATTGTGTTTAAAAGCTTGAGGCAAGATTTACACATTTTTGTATAAGGGATTATGTTCTACGTACAAAAATTTTTAAAATGCGTATAAAATTTTCGTACTTTTTTTATACATAAATAAACACAGACACTTAGTACGTGTTACCGTGTCCCATGTGTGTAATTTGTCTTTATACGGAATTCGGATATTTACAAATTTTTGCTTTTTGATCGTCGTCATTTTATTTTTCTGAAAATAAGAATTTTTGATGAGTTCGCTTGCGTTACATTTTGATATTGAGCGAAATACACATTTTTTTATAGTAAATTCATGCTAGCAATATTCCGTCTCTATCCCATGTGCTTGTACAGTATTTTAATCTTATCGTCTCATATAAAATATGGAATTTAAAACTTTTGTGTTTGATTGGTATTTTTGGATGAAAAAGTGAATATTTCCAAGAACTTTTAGCGAGAAAGAAAATTTTTTGTAAAATTGTATACCAGGAGTAGGTTGGCATAATGCAGAATTTACAATTTTTCTACTCTTATTTCCTGATAAATTTTGTTATTATACAGATTTTGCACTTACAATTCGAAGTTTTATTAAAAAGTTTATTTTATCAAATGTTTAATATTTTTATATTTTGCTGTTCATTATAAAAATCCTTAAAAACTTTGCTTTGCAATGCACATTCACTTAATTTGTAAAAAGTATCTTCACGAGCACATTCACGAGTATCTTTTAATATATGTATAATAAAGTTGGGTCAAACCAATGGTTTGTATTATAGCACTTTTCCCTTCAACAAGTGAAAATACTGCTTTGAAAAACAATCGATGTATTCCTACTACACTATTAAAATTATTTTCATTCATATACGAAACTATTTTCAGGATTGCATATTTTTAGGACTAACAATTTATGCAGTTTTTCAAATAAAGCAAAAATGAACTTAAAGAGGGGTTAACATAATGCTTGATTTTTAGGGTTAATTCCGTGAGCTAAGAAAAATAACTATATTTTTTAATGTCATGGAATTTACCGTTAGCTTTCTGTGTTTATAGAAATTTGAAAAAGCTTGCGGTTTCGGGAATATAAGGCTTCAAAAATTCAAATTTTACAAATTTCAAGAGACGATAACTTGAGAGGGGGTGGAGATGCAAAAAAAATTTCTTCTAACGAAATGAACTATTTGTTGGTGCCTAAAAGCTACTAAAATTTCAGGCTCCCACAACCTGGGGTCTAAAAGAAAAACAACATCAAAAAAAAAAAAAACAGATCTTATGTAACGATGAATTTTAACGGCCATTTTGTTTTTAAAAGTTCAAGTATAGTATGAAGTGATAGAAGAAACAATCCACTGTTTTTCTGCGTTTGTTTTGAAAAATGCATATGGTTCTACTACAGTAAATAGTTGAAAAATGGCATTTTTATTGTTTTAGGAGGGGTATAACTTTTAGAGGGGGGAAAATAGGTAAAAATTATGTCCCACGAAAATTAATTTCTAGAAAAGATGTATGTACATATAAAATTTCAGGTTTCTGTCTTCAAGGGTGTAGAAGTTTTGTAAACAGACACACGGACGTACGGACAGAGTGAAACTAATAAGCATTTTTTTCAAATTTTTTTGGGAAAGTGCTAAAAAAGGTTTTACTTAACTAAAAAAGAAAATATTTTTATATTTTTTTTAAAAAAAAGAACGTTTTTTAAAGAAGGTATATACAATTTTTATAGAGTGGTTTAACTTTTAAGTAACAGCTTCTGCTGTGACTGAAAATCAAAAATTTTTAACAAAAATAAAGGGAAACTTAAGTTATAACTATGGGGAATGTAAATATTGCAAGTGGCTGCAAATGTTTGCAAAAAATGATCTTATATCCTATTATTAATTTATGTTCAAATGTTTACTCAATATGTTATTTACAAACAAATTTAAAAAAATTTACTTACTTAAAAAACTATACGCAGGAATATAAATTAATTAATGGATCCGTTAGAGTGGACTGGCCAGTTAAAGAGAAACCTTTTGATGAGCCAATGTGCGGTTTCAATAATGAACTATGCGAAAAAGACGACCGGCATATAACTTCAGTTGTAATAGCTGGAATACTGGCTTTAATATTATTTTGTTCGGGTGTAGTGGCGATGAGTATATATAGAAAATGGAAAATAGAATTAGAAATTGAAGGATTGTTATGGAAAATTGATCGTGAGGAAATAAAAGGATATTTTGGGAATGATATGGTTGCATCGCCTAGTAAGGTAATAAAATATAACATATGATTTAAAAAATGAATCCAACAATTAATTAAACATATTGGGAAGCCATGAATGTTAATTTTTTGAAATTTAAATTATTTTCTTTTGGTTACTTATAACAGCTCAGCTTAGTGAGTGCTGCATCATATGGATCACGTTGTTCAAATCAAGTTTTTACACCTACAGCTCGTTTTCGCGGTGTTGTTGTGCGTATAAAAGAATTAAAATTCGCGAGAAAAAAGGATATATCACGTGATATTATGAAGGAAATGAGATTATTGCGTGAATTAAGGCATGATAATATTAATAGTTTTATAGGAGCATGTGTCGATGAACCAATGAGAATTTTACTAGTCACAGATTATTGCGCTAAGGGCAGTTTATATGATATAATTGAAAATGAAGACATAAAATTGGATGATTTATTTATAGCGTCATTAGTTCATGATTTAATCAAAGTAAGTACAAAATATTATTTTAGATATTGAATATTTTAGGAACGAATTATTATCTAAAGACAAATATTTTAAACGTTACGGTTAATCGGTAATAATCTTTCGCAAATTCATTCTTGAAAATGTTGTTTTAGGGGATGATATATATTCACAGTTCTTCACTAGAATATCACGGTAACCTAAAGTCATCAAATTGTGTTGTTACATCTAGATGGATGTTGCAAGTGGCTGATTTTGGATTACACGATTTAAGGCATTGTGCCGAAAATGAGTCAATAGGAGAACATCAACATTATAGAAGTAAACAGATATTAAAGAAAAATTATTTTCTTACGTTTTAATCGTTTTTAATTTTCTGATTTTCATAGATTTATTTTGGAAGGCTCCAGAGCTTTTAAGGCATCCAAGTGTTTACGGTTCGCAAAAGGGCGATGTTTATGCTTTTGCAATTATTTTATATGAGATAATAGGGCGACGTGGTCCTTTTGGAAATATCGGTTTCGAACCTAAAGAAATTATTGATCTAGTTAAAGCTTATCCAATTGATAATGAACCATTTCGTCCTGATCTAGAATGTATAACTGACATGGAAACTTGCCCTGACTATGTTGTTAACTGTATTAAGGATTGTTGGGACGAAAATGCTGAAAATAGACCAGATTTTCCAACTATAAGGTTAACTACGGTTTTTAATAATTTTATTTTTTTTTGTCTAAAATTATATTTATTGAATTTATTTTTAGAACACGCTTAAAAAAGATGCGTGGAGGGAAATCGAAAAATATTATGGATCAAATGATGGAAATGATGGAAAAATATGCAAATAATTTAGAAGATATTGTTAATGAGCGCACGCGATTATTATGCGAGGAAAAAAGAAAAACTGAAGATTTACTACATAGAATGCTACCTCAGTCAGTTGCAGAGAAGCTCACTAGAGGTTTAGGTGTTGAACCGGTTTCTTATGATTCTGTAAGTTAATTTAAGAAAAAAAAGAGATAAGAATTAGTAGTTTAGGACGGTAACTCTATAGTACCGGTATGAACTGCTTACTTAATTTTATATGTCCTAACGGTTATTGTTGACTTTAAAACATTTTTTGAAATAACGCTTTTTCTCGAATAGCTGGCGTTAAATCTTAGTGCTTCTAAAACGCTTAAATACAGTTTAAATACAGTTTTACAAAAATAAAAGCTTTTTAAACCGCATTGTATAAAAAATGATGAAGTTTGTGCTGCATTTTGGAATATCAATGCGACAATAAAAAATTACACATACATATGTGTGTACATATTATACGTTTCAAAATAAGTAACCGTGTAAATAATTATAATAAACACAATACTGAAAGATTTTCTGAAACACTTAGTAATTTAATTTTAATAATTTATTGTTTTTACCTTTGTGTTTCTTCGAATTTGGTTATTGTTTTAAGAAATATTTCGAAAACTTATTAAATCCTTTTCTGTTTTACGTTTTGAATGCGTATTCAATACATTTTAGAATATTGTACAATGTCAAGAGTTTTTAATAAACATTTTAATAAATAGAAGTTTTAATAAATATGATACATGGTAAACTTTACGTTTTACCTTGTGGTAGTCATGGTTTCTCAAATATGATGGAATTATGTTACTAAATTATATTTAAAGCACTGCCTTGGTAAGTATAAGGTCATCCCGTAGAGAGAGCAACTCATTTTCCTTTTAGGATTTTAAAAAAATGTAGAGTTTATATGAAGAAAAAAAACTTTCACCAACGTTTTATGTTGTAAGTCATTTGCATCTAAAAATACCTAAAAATATTTTTATATAAATAAATATTGGAGTCTTATTTTGATTTATAATTATAAAAATTAATGGAAAATGAATTCATACAGACTTTCCACATTGTCAATTAAAAGGGTGCTGAGTTTAATTATGAAAAAAAAATCAAAATAAATTTTAAATTGAAAAGTTTTCATAGGTAAATTTACCAAACTCTAAACATATTTTCTTTTATTAAAAAACTACTGAAAACATTTTCATTTGTTTTTATTGGTTACATTTATGTACATATAGAAATATAACTAATATAATTTAACCAATAAATCTGCAAAAGTAAAATTTTTAATTATTAAAGATCCATAATTATGTAGAAAAATATTTTTAAGATTTCAGTTTGAAGTTTGAGTTAAGAACCTAAAACGGAGCTATTAAATGTCTTTAATTGCTCATTTCTCTTATAATATACGAAAATAAAAATAAAAAAATATTAAGCAAACAAAAAGAACCTATACTTCTTCAATAGTTTTTTCATTAAAATATAATTTCAATAGAAAATAATTCGAGAGGAAACATACGAATTACATTGAAGTTGACCCGATTGAAGCAGTTCTTACTTGGACCTTTTTCAGTAAAGTTTAGAAAGATCTAAATTTCAGTTGAAAAGGGTCCAAAAAAGGCAAATTTCAATTATTTTGAACTACATACATACATAATTTTTAAAGTGCCTATAAATTTAAAAAAAAATGTTTAACGTAATTAGCACAGCTCTGAATAACAAACGATTTCAGAGTTTGATTTTTATAACATTATAATATAAAAAAACTGTTGCTGCTGTTGCTTTTCTATAAAAAAACTAACAAACTCTTAGTAATGTAACTCTAATTTGAGAAAATAATTTCATTTAACAAAAAAATCCTGAAAGTATAATTTTTGCTGTCTGAGAAGCTCGTCGAATATAGGCAGATACGCTACATTTTATTATGCAACCTAAATGTATAAATGATAAAAGATTATATTTAAAAATAAAATTTTTTTAAGATAACGTTAATGTTGTTACAATAATTGGGAATACTATAGATTACATTCATAATTTTTAATATTATAGTGCTGAGTGTTTGTATGTACTGTTTTTGAGCTTGATACGACATTTTACAGCTTGTGAAAGTGCTGAAAGTGCTCCAACCTAAAAAAAGAGCACAATAAGGTTAATAATTTCGAATATGATTTGAATAGAAAATAAATTGAGGGAAAACATGCGAATTGTATCGAAGTTGACCCGATTGAAGCAGTTCGGAAAGATTTTTTAATGCGATGGCCATACTTAACAGCGCAGTTTTTAAAGTTATAATTTTATAAATTTTTTTGTAACACTTTGTGCGTGCATGCTACATGAGATTTGTATTTTTAATTTCTTTATTGATATTAGTGTATTTTTTTAAAACAACAAATTTTATTTTGCAGGTTACAATTTATTTTAGTGATATTGTTGGTTTTACTGCTATGTCAGCTGAAAGCACTCCTCTTCAAGTAGTTAATTTTTTGAATGATCTATATACTGTGTTCGATCGGATTATTAAAGGTTATGATGTATATAAAGTAGAAACAATTGGCGATGCTTATATGGTTGTAAGTATACGAAATACTCAATGTTCTTCTTTTTACAATATAGTCTACTTTACATTTACCATTTCAGGTATCTGGTCTTCCAATAAAAAATGGTGACAGACATGTAGGTGAAGTAGCCTCTATGGCATTAGACTTACTAAATGCTGTTCGTCAACATAAAATTGCTCATCGACCTACCGAAATATTGAAACTTAGGATTGGAATGCACACCGGTCCCGTTGTCGCTGGTGTAGTTGGATTAACCATGCCCAGATATTGTTTGTTTGGGGACACCGTTAATACAGCATCGCGAATGGAGTCAAATGGGGAAGCTTTGAAAATTCATATCTCTCCGAAATGTAAAGAAGCTTTAGACAAATTAGGTGGTTATATAACGGAAGTGCGGGGTCTTGTTTCTATGAAGGGTAAAGGAGAAGTTTTGACATATTGGCTTACTGGAATTACAGAAAATGCTATACAGAGAAAACCTGTTGATGTTGCAGAATTACCACCCCCCTTGTTTTGTAGACCTCGAAAAAGCCCAAAATTAAATTGTGATAGTCGTCAACCCAGCCTAATAGGCGCTCATTATTTTAATGGTAGTGGACCAGGTGGATGCGGTTACAATAGCAGAAGACAATCGAGTATACCACGCCCAGACGGTGAAAGCACATATAGTTTGCAGGGGTCTATGTGTGCATTTAGAGATTCACCCCGTCCAATTCACAGAAAACTTGAAAAATTACCATTATATTTAAATGGATCTAACGAAAATACGACAAAGAACCGAATAGCGTATGATATAGATGAGATAGAAGGAGAACGTGAACATTTGATTAATAATAACAACATCAATAATAGTATTTTAGTAAACAGTGATAGTAATGAAAGAATTTCAGATAGTCAGTTAACGTATATTAATTGTGGCGTAGGTGGTGGTAATAATTTTGATGAAACCATAGGAGGCTTCTTTAAAATTGGTCATGAATTAATAGGTAGCGACGAAAATTTGCGAAAAAAGCAGAGATCTGAAAATGGCGAGCAAGGAAAAGAAGAATTATTAATTTTTTTTCAAGATAATAATATTAAACAAAGTAATAATACACGTAATATTTTTAGCGCATCTCGCAGTACACTGCTAGATCATTCCGAAGAAAATGATGATATTAACTGTGATAGTAGTACCAAGTCGCCATCGTTAAATAATTTTGACGGTGGTGGTGATAATTGTAGTCATAAACCTTTAGCTAAGGTAAAACCACATCGAATAATTAAATCAAATTGTGATTCTGAATCCATATTAAAAATTAATCGTAATAATAATGAAATGGACAATATAATAAAAACATGTTCACCAAGAAATAATCATTGTCAGTGCCAATATCTATATCACCCAACTTATAATTATCAAAATCGATTGAATTGTAGTAGAAGCGTAAACAATTTACGTGAATCATATTCATGGGAAGCATTTCCATCTGAATTATTACGAAAAAAGTTAGATATTCTTCAATGTGAAAACATTTATGGTAAGTGCGTCCCATTGCGTACGCAATCTATTAAAGGATCCAAAAGCACTTTAAAAGGGTTTACTAATAAAACAGTTAAAAGAAAGTCAGTTTTGAACACAATGAAGCTGTCAAAAATAAACTCTAAGTCATTAGATACTGCTGTCTCATTTATTTGTAATAATTCAAATAGCAATGATTTCAAAAACAATTTTGCATTAGAATATTGCGGAGCAACAGACGATAGAAGTAGTGCTAAAACCCCTTTAATTGGGAAAACAGTTAGAAATCCTAAGATTGTAACATATAAGCATGTAAATAATAATTGTAATGGATCAATTAACATTTATGAAGATGCAAATAGTCAACTGTTATTACGTCAAGGTTCTTTAAATAAGCCAGGGGAAGATAATTTGTATTTATTTTCGAAACGTTCGCGTTCTTTAGAAGCTATGGGTGAAACGGATGTAGCCATATTAAGAAGAGGACGTGGTGTTAGCGAAAGCAGTTGTTGCGAAAGCCGAGATGGAGATAGTAGTAATAAAAATAGTAATTATAAAAAAAATTTGTCAAGTAGATTAACCAATTTGGCTGTTGGAGGTGTAGGTAATAACGCTAGTGGAGGTGGTAGTGGCGGATCCATTAAGTCTTGGATTTTTAATATTTTTCAAAATAATTCTTTAAAATCTAATGATACTTCAGCACGTAAAGTTGGTATTTTGCCAAGTACTATTAGTAAAGCTCTGCCAAGTTTTGATGAATTGCCACCTAGTCCACCTGAACGGGAAAGTATAGTTTAAAGCAAACAATGAATTGCAATAAGTTTACGTTTAAATTTATTAAAGTTTATTTACAACAAATTTTATTGTATTTATTTTCAAATAAAAATTGAAGAATATAAAGTAATAAGAAAATTAATTACTCTTTTAGTAGCAACTTGGTTATGTGGATTAAAACGGCGCTGCATATGTACATATTTCATAAATATATGTATGACAACTGAACTGAATTTTAAATTATACAATAAATGATATAATTTTAAAGCTACACATGAAATGTATTTTCTTGCAAAAACTCAATTTTGTAGTTTATAAAATTTATATGCAATGATTGAATGCTTAAAGTTTAACTAGAATTTTTTAGTTAAAAAACTTTTCTAATTTCTAGTTTATTTGAATGATAAAACATCAAATAGAGTAGTTTCTACTAAAGTTCGTCAAACAACGCTAGTTCGGAACCTATATTTTGATTTATTTTCATGTTTTTATGTTAATATTTTAGTGTTGTTATTATAAAAAATTGTATTGTAAACTACTTAGAATCCATTAAGTTTCTGATTGTTCAAGTGCCGGGTGTTACATTAATTCTATTTAATCCTCTTATGATTATGAGACTATTCTATTTAATCCTATTATGGTTAAAGCTCATGGGATAGCCAAATATAATGACTTTGATGTAATCATTTGATATAGAAAAATTTAAAGTACTTAACTATTTTCAAAACATTTTTGTGTGGTCCTCTTTTATAATAAGTGTTCCGAATGAAAGTATGAAAAGTAATGTTAATTAGTGCAGATGTATTAGGTTTTACAATGTGGAAATGTGGGAAAAAATTTATTTTTTTACCTCTTACTATTCTTTGAATATTATTTGCTTTTTACTTGAAAAATGTTAAAAAAACCAAAAATAATTCAACCGATTGTTCACAAACAAAGCCTACTAATGAAATTTCGGAGCAACTGAAAAATGAAAAAGGTGATTTTTTTGTGTTATATGTGCAAGATCTACTTTTTGTAGTTGTTCCAACGTTTTGTAATTCTAATAAATAATGATTATGACCAAGGACAATACAGATATGAGGAAATTAATGTTTCTAATCTAATATTTCTTTTCTATTAGCCCTATCTGAAAACATCCTATTTCACAAAACTTTTTAGTTGATAATCCGGATGCTTATTTTAATTTTGTTGCAGGTTTATGTAATTATTGCCCATTCGGATTTCTTAATAAATAAAACGCGTTGGTCATTGTTAATTCCTTTCTGTTGGACGTTTTTAAATTAAATATTTGTTATTGAGTTTATCACTTTTTAAATTTATTGAAGTTAGATCAACTTAATTAGAAGAATTTCAACGAAAAATATTTTCATAAGCAAAATAAATTATTTTTATTATTTTTTTTTTTTAATATTTTTACTTTTTAATAATTAATTCACTTCCAACAATTGCTTGTCAGCTCAGTCAAGTACGTCTCTAAGGAATAATTGTTAAAATTACTTGAGCTCTTGTTTTCGTATACATATACGAAAGAATACGAAATGTTTGACGCGAAAGTTTTGAATAACAAAATATCACGCCAAGCGATGCGACTTATAGAAACAATAGGTATAAGAAAAACTAATTGGATCTCGCGAATTTTTTTTAGATTTTTTGCTACAAATTTCATAATTATGTACATATATCGAAATGTCACACTTCATTAAGTTTAAAATTTAAAACCGACGTGTAGGCTTTAACTTTTAAATATTTTCTCAACAATTCTAAAAATCATAATTATGTACATGTATTTAAAAATTTTGAAAAATACTTTGTAAACATATCTAAAATGAATACATATATCGAAGTAAAAATATGTATGTCAGGAAGCATATAGATTTTAGAAATGCATTTTTCATTTTTTCGAACAGATCTAGAATATGTCTGTATATATAAAATGTTAGGTTTTAAACTCGAAAACATTCGATCATTGTGTGAATATTAAATGATTGTGCAATTACTAGGCTTTTATTGTACATAATATTAATTATTTTAAGACTGTAATGCAAGGTTAATGATACCAGAAAATTTACGTAATTGTAATGCCAAATCAGAAGTTTTCAAAATAGAAGCTTCAAATATTTTTATTTGTCATATTTTACAATTAATGAAGATGTGGTTTTATGTGTGAATAAATTTAGAATTCTTTTTAATTAGAAAAATTTTAATAAGTTAACAGCTTACAAAGTTTCCTAATAATTTTAATTTCAAAAATATTATACATAAATAGCTATTTGCTAAAAATTAAATTATTAATATTTTCTTTAAATTCTCAGAATGAAATAGTTGGGAATACTTTACTTTAACTTTTCAAGTTTTAAAATATGTATGTATATATACATATAAAATAATTTTTTTTATAGAAAATAGTTTTTAATAAATGTTATATTAAGATTAAAATAATTAATTTTCTGTAAGAAAGTTGTAAAAAAATAAATAAAAAATTTTGCCATATTTTCTTATTTCTATTAAGTGTATTTTTATAAAAAAATAAATATTTCTAAATTTAAAAACTTTATCCATGTATATATAAAACATTGAAAAATTTGTAATAGTTTACACAGAAAAAAATAAATTTATTTATATTAAATTATAATATTAGAATAAAGATCCATATCGTGTCTTTTAATAAGAATTAAAAAAATAAAAATATTATAAAGCTTATAAATAAATATAATTTAAAAATTTTGTTGTTGTTGTAATTGTATTATAATTTTTATTAATTATAACTCTTATATAAAAGTAAATTTATTTTTAAATTCTGTATTAAATATATTAAAATGTTGTATAAGTAATGAACAAAAGAAAAAAGAAAAGAAAAAAGTGCAAAAAATTAGATTAAATTTATAAGTTGCGTACATATGTGTATATACATATATGGACTAAAAAGTTCACTTTCATGTATATACGAGTATTTATATATACATACCTTTAAATAATTATTTATATACGTATATACATATATATAAAATTTTTATATATTATGTAAAATCGCGTGTATATTTTAACATTATTACAAAAAAAAAATGAGAAAAAAATATTAATAGTCAATAAAAAAATATTTAAAAAATCTGCGTTTTATTTTCCAAACAAAAACAAGAATTTTTGGAGACATATTTTGCTGTTTTAATGCTATTATATTGGGGAAGCAAAATATGTTGAACCATCTTTTTTGTAGTTGGGAATAATTTGTATAATTTTTACAAAATCAAAAACTGTAACTAACATAAAATGAATGAACTTTCGTAAAACATTTTTTCTTAGAATTGCTAATTTTTAATCTCAATTTCACTTTGCCTAAATATTGTTATGATCAGCTGATTTTAGTGGTTAGATATTTTTGTTCTTTTATTACTGATACCACTACGTATTATTAAACTATTGAGTCATGAGTATGAGAATGGCATATAAGTTAAAGCTGTAATAAAATACAAGGCGAATAGTTACACTTGAAAATAAAAATAGGAGTAAAAAAAGTGAAGAAAAGAATTAGCTATATACATACTTTTAATTTTAAAATTTCGAAGAAAACAGGAGTGTTATTATTTCAAATTTTTATTTATTCTTTTTTAATTTATAATTCCTATATTCTAAAATATGTCCTATTTTTGTTTTTTTTCTATTTCATAATTTTTTTAATTTATATTTATTTTTATTTCATTTCAGTTTTTATTTTATTTATATTTATTTTTCTTAAAACTGTTAATTAATTTTTTAATATTAAGTTCTCAAGTTTTTATAGAATTTACATTTTGTTACTATTAATATTTTTAATACTATAATACATATTTTAAGCATGCTTTTTTATTTTTATTTTAACACAATAATTATTATGTATAATACTTTAGTTTTAGTAATAGCTATTCCTAAAAATAATTAACTATTTTATGTTATTCAATAGTATGTAAAAAATTAGTCTAATTTTATGATATGATTCTAATCGAATACGTTTTTTTTTTTAAATTTTTTTATGAAGTGCTCTTTAATGCCAAATTTTCCATTTATTAATTAAAATAACCAAATTCCGCTGTTGTCTGTTTTTTTTGCTTAAAATCGATTTATTATCTTTTTGTATCTTTATAAGAAGTTTAATTTTTTTAATATACACCTTTAAATATTTTGGTTAATGTAGTTATTATTTTCAAATAAAATCTGGCTTGAATCACACGACAGATGTGATATGAAATAAAAATTAGTCCTCACTGTAACCTGACTTTAGTGTTCATCTGAGTGTTTTATAAACATGTAGGAATTCTTTTGGTATATTGAAAGTTTTTTCACAATTTTTGTTATTTCACATGAGAATTTTTGTGTACAGCTTTAAAGGAATAATGATGCTATATGAATAATATATTTGTGGTCATTAGTTTTTGAACAAAATCGTTTTAAACATCAGTATTGTATTACATACCGATCAATAGATGAATACATGCTACTTATTCTCTTACATTTGATGATATTTATTACTTCTAAAAGTAAGGACATATAGTATGGTTGTAAGATAAATTGAGAAAGAATTTTGGTCGAATTTAGTAAATTTGGTTAAACGAAAATAACGAGTATTTGAAATACGAAAATGCAATCCGGATGTATATGAGTGAAATTATGAAATGCGTTGTAATTTTTTCAGAACATTAGGTTAACAGATTTATATTTTATTTAGGTACGTGTTATATTGATTAAACTTCGAAACACTTTATACAGCACGAAATTTTCGAACGCGCTGCAATCATAGATCATGCTCAACAAATTTTGAATTTTGCTGAAATCTGTAACTATAATAATAGTCAATATTTTCTAATATACCCTTATGCTTTTTTTTAATTTTAAAATTAATAAATGAATATTTCAAATCTGTTTTGTTTTTGGTGGGTAATTCTTATTCATTTGGTATAATTTATTTTGGAAATTATTTTGATACTCACATGATTATTTATTAAATTTTTTAAATAATTAGGTTTTTTTTTCTGAAAGCATTTTAATTCAAAATTTCCATCTTAAATTTCTAATTAAAAAGCCTTATTTTATTATATTATCATTGTTATATAAATTAAGTCTATGTTATTAAATAAATCTATTCTGTTTATGTTTCTCTCATATTTTAAATTTTCTAAAAGTATGGCCGTTTATTTATTTTGTTTCATTTTTTATTTATGTTAATACATATGTATATAAATTTTTTCTTAAATTTTATTTCTATTCTGTTGTGTTAGCTCTCACCAAAATGATATTTCTTTTTTTGCTTTTGAAATTAGTCATAATCATAACATAAAATACAGCATGTATAAAATAAATTTATTTTTTGTCGAACAGTTCGAGTTTTATTTTTGTTTATGTAATTTTTTTTTAATTTTAAATTTTTAAATAAGTTCAAAGTATAAACTCTAATAAAATTATACAATATCACATAAATAGAGATGTTGATTAAACATTCAGTGTTTGTTTTTGGCTTAAGTACATATTAATATGCTGGATGGATAGCATTTGTAATTATTGAACTAATTTTTACATAGGAATTGAGGAAAATGGTTATACACATTTCATCGGATAACTCTGGTTTTTGATATGAAATCAACATGAAATCAGCAATATTTCAATTTACTGATTGGTTTTTGTTCCTACATCAAAAAAAACGGGGTTCCATTTACCAACTTTTTAATTTCTATTAAAAGTAACACATCCAACATGAATAATATATTTAAGTATTTTATTTATGGTATTTCATTCCTATACTGTAAGATTTGTGGTGATGTATAAAATTTTATAAGTTTAGATTATTTTGTGAATTGTAATGGTAATAATTATCTATATTATTATTTTATTAAAAAAATTTTTGTTTTGTGATATAAATTAACTTGTTTGGAAGAAGAATGTCAAATGGGTAGTAATTTAAAATTTCAATAAGAAATAAAATAAAGCATATATAAAAATATGATTAAAGTAAATACTCAACAATTGAAAAATTGTTATGATTTTTGCAAAAAAGCTTTAAAAAAATGTGGTAAAAATGGCAGCTGTTTCTGTTAGATTTAAAATTTCAGAAAAAGGTATATGTATGTATTTAAAAGAAAATATCTTTTTTGGAAAACTAGCTTTTAGACTTTTTTTAGTTGTTAATTTTTTAGATTTTCTTAATAATATTATGGTTCAGGGCTTGGTTTTTTCCAATTTTTTTTATACATTTTTTAATTACTTGTTTTTTTTTTTTATTTTTGATTACAATTGAAAATTTCTATCTTACAAAAGCAGAATTATCTAGACTAACAGTAAAATAATTTAATATTTTATATATTAATAAAATATGCATAAATATATACATATATGGACATACATATACATATATAATGATTAAATTATAGCCATATTTTATTTTTTTGTTTCTGATTTTTATTTAATACTTTTACTTATGACTAAATGCATGGATTCAATTTAATAAATATTTTTAATATGTACAATATTAATTTTATTTAAATTATTTCAGAATACAAAACGGATCACTGACGCAATTTTTCATATTTTGCAGCCTAATTAATAATTATTTATATCGTTTCTTAATTGATAAATATACAAAAAAAAAAAAAATAATCTTAAATACATAAAACAATAATAATTTTAATGAAATTATAAATAAGACAAATAAGTTATTTTTATTTATTAAAACGAAACTACAATTTATGTCCAATCGATTTATACATTTAAGGCACTTTTCAATTTTAAAAATAAGCACAATATAATTTAATTTAATAATTTTATTAAATATATTAATAGGAAATTCATCCACGAATATATTTTATATATATATATAGATTTTGTAATTATATACTCTATATAAAAGCAAAAAAGAAAGTTGTTTGAGAAATAAACTTAAAACCTAACAAATTATTTGTAAAATAATCGAAGAAGATAAAAATTTATTCGTAATATTTTACTTAAAATTGAATTGAAGTCCTTTTTAGTTAATATGCGGGTCATTCAATTTTCTAGTGGGAACGAATATAGCGCAAATTGTAGAAATTTCGGAAAGCTGCACTTAGAGAACCAAAACTCAAATTTTATTACTTAATCGTTTATTAAATTTTAATTAGTACAATATTAATAAAAATTACTGAGTTTTGGATATTTTTTGGAAAAAAAATATAAAAAAAAGCATTCCTCTCATTTGCAAATTTCGTTAAAATGAGAGATATTCAACTACTTTCTTCACACAAGTGATATGAGCGAAAATCTATTTATTTATATGAGCTATCTAAAGTCGAAGTTTTTTGTTCTCTTGATTGTTCATTGGTTCGTCTGAAAAAAGCTGATCTTTCTTTTTCTGTTATAATGCATTTATTACTTTTTTGACAAGAATTATATGTAATTGTAATAGTTCAGTATATATAAATTAGACGTTTTAAAAAAACCTCGTTTGACGTTGAAGTTGATTCAACTTTTTAAGAGAGAGAGAAAAAAAGCTGTACTAAAATAAAAAGAATGTAAAAAATCCAAATTTTCATGTAAAATACATCAGCTCTTCGTTTAACTGACGAACCAATGAATGATCCAGCTTAATTAACTACGTGACAATAGTATGTATGTAGTTTAACTTTACCTTGAACATTTTGATTTTTTCTTAGCTGATTAATGGAAATATAAAAGTTTTTTTAATTGCAAGTTAAAATTGGAATTGGCAGCTTTCCTTAATCAAAATACATACATAAATAATTATTTTAATTTAAATGGAAAATAATAACATTGACAATGCATTGTTTAATATCTGTTAATATTGTATTATACATGCAACATGTACATATGTTTATTATATGTTTTGTTTCAGAAAACATATAAATTTATGCACACAACATAAACAGTTTGATAAACAGTTATGAAAACAGTTTGATTCAGAAAAACTCTTGTTTGGAAGAATATTTTGAAAATTAATAAAAAAGTTTCTATTACTTTTTTTAGAAAAATAAAATTTTGTGAAATAAATTGAAAGTTAATTATTTTTTTTTGATTAAATAATTGTGTTTTTGTGTGAAAAATCAAAATCAACTAAAAAATAAATATTTCAATAGATATTTTTTATTTATATTAATATTTTTGTTTTTAATAATAAAACTGTAAAAAAACAATTGCTTTATTATTTACAAAATTTCATAAAAAAATAAATTATTTTATAAACAAAATAAAAAAATTAGAAATTTTAAAAAAATATTATTTTAATAATACATGTAACATATATACATATGCATATACGTATAAAAATATGGATTATATTTATGATAACATAATTGTGGATGATGATGATGATGAAGGTTCTGGAATTAATGTTAGTAATAATGAAGTTGATATTGTTATTGCAGTTGTAGATGTTGTTTCTGTTGTAATGTTCATCGACGTCGAAAAACTAATCAACGATAATATAAATAAAATTGTATAAACAAATACAAATACATTTATTTTATAAACTAAAGTATTTTGAGGAAATTTAGTTGCTTTTGATATTCCCATTTTGTATTCCATATCGATATCTAAGAGCAGATCATGATTCTTAGTGTAGAACTGATGAATGTCACTAATCTAAAATAAAAATAGTAAAAATTTTTTTTTTCTTATAAATAATTTTTTAGAAAATTTGTTGTTAAAGCGTTTACTTTAGAAATTTTTTTAAAAAGCTGTACCAATTTCCTATTAGCTATTAGAATGGAGACGTTGATTCGTATACAAACAATCATGCATTTACATGAACATTAAATTTTTATTTACATCATGTATGAAATATATATTTTTTGAAACAAAAAATGTCTTAAACATATTTTTTATTACCGACCTGAACTAGAACTTTAAACTTTAATATTAAGAGTAACATCATATGTATAATCAAAATCTTATAGATTTATAAAATTCAAAATTGTATAAATACTAAAAATAATCTTAAGATAAAGTTAGAATCAAATGAGCATTCTCAAATAAAATTTGATTTTTCTTTACTGGCTGACAAAACTCCTGGCATCAACGCACAAAAAGTTCAATCTATTGTGAAAGCTGTACGTTGAATCAGACATGAATATGATACTGAATGGGCATTTCTATTACAAAAAAACTTTACAAAAGTTATAAGAGAAACATAACCAGAAACAAGCCTTTTTTTTTGTATATATTTTGATTTGGAAAACTATCAATGAAAATAAGAAAATTCTAGGTGCTTGTCTATTATTCATTGAAAAGAATTTACATAACTTTTTTTGCACATTTGTCAATTTATTTGAATTATTCTTTTTTACCTCTTGTGTTTCTTTACTTCTACCGCAAATATACTATTAAAAGCAGAAAACATATAAACAATTTGAAAATGTACAAATTGAAAAAAAAACTCTCTTTTTTGGCAAATATTGAAAATTTGCCTTAGTGTGATTAGATTTCGATACAAATGATTATTCAAATTATTAACCAAGATGTCTCCATTCTCTATTTTGTTTAAAAAATTTAAAAATTTTAATTCTATAAATTTTTTAAGAAAAAACTTGTAACAAAAAATCTTGTAAGAAAGTAACAAAAAATCTTGTATTTTTAAAATTATTTTTAGAATTTTTAATTTCATATGAAATCATAAAAATGTCTTGTAAGGATTTATTTAAGTTTGAATTTTTTCATATGAATGTCTTGTAATTATTCGTTTACTATTTGAAAAATTTTGTTCGAGAATTGAAAAATTATCTATTTAAGTACAGCGAAATAAAAATATAGAAATTGTCAAAACTATTTAAACATGGTAAAATAAAACGAAATTTCAATAAAATTGCTTTTTTTCACATTTTCAACTGTTTTTAACTTTTTTAAATTAAATTCTATGGTACGATTAAAAAATAACACGTTTTCACTGCCTTTTACAAAATTCAAAAAAAAATTATAAAAATAATAACCAATTTTAGATTTTGGTCTGGTTCATTTCAATTTGAAAATATTCGCTATTTACAAATTAACACGCTAATACAAACATCATATATGCAAAACAGAAGATAATTACATTTTCGTATGCGATTTTTATCTTTACTGACTTTTTTTGAACTTTTTTATCTCGAGCTAGAAATTTCTACACTTCACTACAAAGGTGTAGCGGTATAGCACAAAAGAACAAAAATCGGAATTTACGGAACAAATAAAAATAAAAAATAAATGTAGAAACTTGTTTTAAAAAAGGAATTGTGTTTAACATCAGCGACGTGTCTGTGCTTTATTATTGTTTCCTTGTTTAGTTGTCAGACTTTTACTCTTCATGTATGTTCAAAATATTATTGAAATTTGTAATATTCAGTGTTATAATTAAGAATCAAAATTTGCAAATGATTAAGAAAACCATCAAAATTTTAAAAACATTCACCAAACTTTTGAATAAATTTTTATTTTATGTTTAAATTGCGAGAGCCGAAAAACTGTTCAACAACAAATACTACTTATAAATCGCAATACTTTTTATTAATTTTTTATTATACCGATAGTTAATTTAACCAAGAGGAGATTATATTTGTTAGCCGAAAAATTATGTTAAGAAACAAGTTAGTTGTTCAGATGCTAAAATGTTAAATTCATATGCTATTGAGCTGGTTAGTAGAAAGTACTGTGCCTTGTCTTATCTCTGCAGAAACGGCTGAAACAAGGTGATGGAAAGAACTGTAACGTTTTTTCGTTTTCTTTTCAAATTTTTAATAAAATCAAGTTCCTTGAATTTGAACTTTAATCGATTGATATGCTGTTGTAACACTTTAACAACCTAAAACCAAAAACTCTTTTATAACCAAAAAATAAATTTCGAAATAATTTTTTTGTCACTTTTTAATATTTTCATTCATGAGAATACTTTTAATGAGAACTTACTATAATTCCAATGAATAGATTTTTTTTCTATTATTAGCAGAATGCAAAAAAATAACTATGTATGTGTATGACATTTTTTCACTTCCCTAAGAATTATGTTAATGGCGAAATATAAAAAATAATTGCAAAGTTGGGGGAATGTTGCAAGAAAATTTTTTACGCTTTTTAATTTAAAAAACATTTTTTTTAATATTCTCCATTTGCTATTTTGTTATGTAGGCTCTTTTGTTGGTTTGTTTCCTTTATTTTCACTTTATTTATAAAAAGGATATTTGAAATTTTCCGTTGGAAATGATATTTTTTGGTATTACCATGTTTAGTAAATGTATACTTAACATATACATACATATAATATGCGTTTGCAAAATCTATATCCATATATAATACACACGTATATGTAAGTATATACATATATATATATATATATCATATATACATACATACTTCATATATATAAATATTTTTGATGTGTAGCTATCGTTATACTTACCTCATTCCAACCATATCGATTTTTAGCTTGAACAATTGCCTCGTATACCGCATTATGTTCTAGCTTACGAATTACATGTGACATTATATAGTGACTAGCATCTAAACGTACTGGTGTTGGTGTATAAAAACTTTCATGCCATTTATCTGGATGCTGATAGGTTTCATTCATCTGAAATTTACAAAAAAAAACACAAAATGGAATGTATTTGCGAGAGTGTAATTTTCTTTCATGTTATGTATCTATTAAATATCTATATGTATATACAACTTTATTTGTACATATTATTATGGTATTCAGAACACTTATGTTTTTTAGAAGATAAAAATTTTGCAATATTATTATTATATAAAATAAGATAAAATAAAGAAATTCAGAGCAATTAGGTAATATACACGTTTTTTTATTTGGAAACAATGAATAATACTTCGGTTTATAAATCCCCAGTACAATTTTCGTTTTGTAATTTGGTGACGTGTAAAGTAGTTACCCCAATTATAGCAATTAATAATTATTAGTAATAGCAAGCTCCTAAAAAGCCCGGATAATATGAGTGAAATAGCACTAAAGTGGCTGAACATCATTAATTGAAATTTACAATGCTCTCCCCCTACTGCACAAACATTAGCAAAATATCATAATTTTATTTTAACTACATTTTGTTTTTCTCATTAAAAACAGTTTTATTTATGAGAAGTATTAATATTGATCCTGTGTTATCTACATACTTATTACTAAAAAATAAAACGCCCGAAGTTATGCAATATTTTGCCATTTGTCAAGTTATTGAGACTTGATGATTATTTTTAAATTGGTTAAAAAAATTTGAAAGTTGTTTTCGATATTTTGCATGTTGCGCTCTTATATCTTTGATTTGTAATATGCAAGGTCAGATTTGTTATATTAGGCAGTGTATTAGGCAATGGAATTTTTGGAACTGACAAAAAGTGCAATCCCTAAAAGTAATAATATGTTCTATTAATTCTATCGAGAATTTCCTTGAAAGAATTAAAAGTTTTTATTTAAATATGCATAGCACAAGAAGTCAAGATTTGACAGAATATTAGCAGCATCGTACATCAGGAACATTTTACGAGTAGCTTAATATTTAACTGTGAAATTTAATTTTCAATCTTGACCTTTATCAAATGAATCTCATTTAATTATTTAATATTCAAATTTATGTTTTCATATTTAATTAGCATTTTTCTTATAATTGTCTCACAACTTTCTATTGCTCTCCTTTCCAAGATTTTTCTTATTTCTCTCATTGTCCATTTCAGTGTATATAGTTACCAATATATTGTTTCGTTTACTCTTACTAAGTAACAAAAAATAATATCAATTAGTAGCTTGAGTTCATGTGGAAAATACTTTAAATTCTTTTTTGGAACCGTAAGAAATTATTATTTTCTCGTTATAAATTTCTCTTAATTTAAGATCTCGTCAAATGCACATTATTTAAAAATTAAAGTTACATTAAAGTCATTCGGACAATAATTCTGAACTTAAATTATATCTTATACCTTTTTTGAGTTTGTATTAAAAAGTTTCTTTTCAATTGAAATAAAATTTAAATGAATATAAATTTTTAGGTGAAAATAACCACTATTTTATTGATTTAAAATGAACAACTTCAGAACATTAATCAGTGGATTCTGATTACAATGCGAAAAATGAAAGAAAGAAGAGGAAATAGCCAAGAAACTAATTTTCTTCTCTTAATCATGACGACCGCAGGTTTACGAATAATAGCAAAACTTTTTTATATAAATTTTATAATAACTTGCATTTGAATGGAACTCTGTGAATTTTATGGAATATTTTCTTTCATTTGTTTCCTCTTGATCGAATCGACCGATTTTCTGTTATTAAGATGGTTTATCTATATTCAATTTTCAACTTTTTAATATAAAATTTTGTAGACGATATCATTTGAATTTTGTTGTAAACATTTTTTTGACTTAAAAGTTTTTCTTTATATTTTTACTTGTAATGTCGTTAGTAATTCGGAAGAATATATTACAATAAAAACACGATCTTTTAAATCAAATGGAAATTTTTTCTTTCAATAAAATTTTCTATACAAAAGAAGAAACAGAAGAAATACAATTCTGTCCAATTCATTATATTATGCATGTCATTATTACTCTTCACTTTGATTCTATTATATTTATACATCAATGTGTATATACGTGAACGTATAATATTTGATTGTTTGTATTGTAAGATTTCTGACAAGTTGAGTTCTTCGTGTTCCTCTCCTGTTTTCTTTTTGTGGTTTCGGTTTCTTATTATTCATTTAATTCATAAGCGAAATAATCGTGTTTTGTCATGTGTTCCTGACAACTGTGATATTTTGAATTGAAGAATTATAATAGCTATAACGACATAAAGTAACTTTTTACCGACCGTATTGTGTAAACAATAGGTAGGTTATGTGATGGCAACAAATTTTGCATATCGAGTTTTCGGTGGGAATGCACTTCTCCATAGTAGGGAAGTCTAAATAAACTATTTTTAGCAACCTGTCGGTCTGTCGGTCTGTCGGTCTATCCGTCTGTCGGTCTGTCGGTCTGTGTGTGCACGCGTGTATCTCAAGTTCGGCTGAACCGATTTTGATGAAATTTTATATGTAAGTTTGTTTCCACCATGGCACGGATCGATCAACTTTTGGTATATATCAGGCCTCGGCAACTGCACTTTTTAGCGGGCCTGTTTTACATTTTTGAACATTTTGAAGAAAATATTCAACCGATTTACTTGAAATTTTATATATAAGCTCAGCTCGACCGTCCGCAAAAATTCGTATGTTTTGGAAGAAATCAGGCATCGGCAACTAGACGTTTACTACGGGCCAAATATACATTTTTGTGGTGTACATAAAGAGAAATAATCAACCGATTTCATTGAAATTTAATATATGAATTCCCCGTATTAAAACAATGAACATGTAAATTTTTTGGAAAGATCAGGGCTCGAAAACAGATTTGCGGGCCGATTTTACATTTTTCACCATTTTGAATAAAATATTCAATCGATTTACTTGAAATTTCATATATGAGCTTTGCTCGACCGTCCGTGAAAATTCCTAGCTGTTGGAAAAAATCAAGCATCAGCAACTGGACGTTTACTACGGGCCAAATATACATTTTTGTGTATATAAAGAGAAATAATCAACCGATTTCATTGAAATTTAATATAAATGAACATGTAAATTTAAAACAATGAACATGTAAATTTTTTGGAAAGATCAGGCATCGACAACTAGATGTTTACAAGGAGCCAAACATACACTTTTGTGTATATAAAGAGAAATAATCAACCGATTTCATTGAAATTTAATATATGAATTCCTCATATTAAAGCAATGAACATATAACTTTTTTGGAAAGATCAGGGCTCGAGAACTGATTTGCGGGCCGATTTTACATTTTTCACCATATCCACAGAACAAATAGATGGAATTTCTTGAAATTCGGGGAGCACAAAGCGAAACTCTACTAAGAGCCAAATTTACATTTTTCTAAGTATGTTAACTATAAGCTTACTAATGTCCTAAAAATTGGAAAGAAGTATTTAACAGACATTTTTATAATATTCTGTAACACTTTCATTTAACTAGACAATACACAATGCGGTCGGTTGTGTGCTGACCACATCAGATTTTTTTTTATGTCTTTTAATTGTCCCTGCTATATTGTTCTTTTAACTTTAATTTTATTTTGAAATATTATTTGGTATTTGAATATTTAAGAGGGACACATGTAACAATTATAAAATAAAAGTGATTATTTTCTACAATCACTAAGTTTCAACACTTTATTCATTTTCTATATCACTATTATGCGAAAAATATATAAACTCTACCTTATAGAACTTTAAAATTAGTTTCTAGAGTGCTTTTAAGTGAAAAGTTTGAATGAACGTAAAATTGTAAAGCCCAAAATTAGATGATTGTGTCAAAAAACAGAATTGTAATTTAAAACGAAGGAAATCGTCATAAATCTTGACTCAATGCCAATTATGGATCCTAATAAAAAATATTTGATTGCCAAATGTGGTAAGATTTTTTTAATTTAAAGAATTGCTATCTTGAATTGATTTTTATAAATAAATTGAAGAGATTTCAAAATTTTTCGGCTTTCAAAATTATAGTGCTTTATTTTGCTGTAAAATATTTTTCGGTTTGTTTATATGTTAGTTTAAAATTTTCAATGCCAGTACTCTTGTTAGAAGAGCATTTTTTGGCAAATGACGTCTTAAAATGTGAAATGTCGTTGGAAATTAGACTTTGACATTTAAATAATATTTTCATAGTTAAATGCTATACCACTTAATATTAATTTAAAATTTTGCTTAATAGTTTCGTTGGAAATTATTGTATTATATAAATATGATACACATTGGTACATACATGTATTTTACAGTTTACTTGCTAGTCGTTAAATAAGTGCTACTATTACGAAAGCGTTGTGAAAGTTTTTATGCAATTACTTCTCTGATTGACATTCAAAGAAGAAGATAAGCAAAAGCGGCAAAATTTTTTTTGAAATACTTTTATTTGCATTTCTAACAAAACTGCTGCCATTCGAATTTGATTTGCATTCAAAATAAAAAACGAGTAAAAAAAAGAATGGTTGGAAAAAATATGTCAACAATAAACGAAAAATGTTCATTACATAATCGCAATGTCCTAGATCAGAGAAATAGTGTATTTTAAAGGTATTTGAATAATTTTTATTTTTTTTTGTTTTTCGAATTTCATAAATGTTTCATTTTCTTATTTTCATTTTAGTAGAAATTCAATTTACATTCAACTGGAGCTGTTACAGGTGGAATAATTTTGAATTCTTGAAAAGAAAATTTTTTGAGGGATTCCATTTTTGTGTGTTGCCATACTACGAGTACTTTAATATAATAAAGGTATTTTTGTATTCTTTTTATTATGCCCTGCACTTCGTGGTATATTAACTTTGGTATGGAGTTTGTAACTACTTAAAGGAGTCATCTGCGGTATGGACATATATATATATTCTTGCTCAGCGTAAAATTCTGCGTAGATTTAGACATGTCCGTCTGTCCGTCCGTCCGTCCGTCCGATCGCACGATAACTCAAAAACGAATAATGCAATCGACACCAAACTTTCACAAGTTTTTTCTTTTGTGCC